AGCATACAGCATACAGCATACAGCATACAGCATACAGCATACAGCATACAGCATATCTTATCTTATCTTATCTTATCTCCTTTTAATCTTAATATTACTAGATCCATTCATTCACTAACCTGTCTGTGTGCTGGAGTCGAAGAAGGTGCTGGTAGTTTCGACGGTCATGGTGCCAATGGTGCCGTCAATGATCTGAGCCGACGAGTCGCGTCTGCCACGGTAGCTGCAAGAGTCATTTGAATTAGTTGAGGCGCTTCAGTTGCGACCTGCTGATACGCACCGACAGACATCGTCGCTCTGGGAGCTCTGGCGCCGGAAGTTGCGACACCGTATCATCTCCTCGGTGGTTGATTGTCGGCGGAAGCCGCGTGCAATTAGTATCTCTTCGGTGGTCGACTGGCGGCGTATCACCGGCCGTTGATTCTGCTCGACGGTGGTCGTTTGGGGCCTCGAGCAGGGGCTGGGATCCCGCGACGAGGAGCAGCTGTTGGAGTCCGGCGACCGGGCCGAGCGTGCTGCGGAGCTGCTCTGCCGCCGCAGCGTATGCCGTCTGGGACTGCCGTCGCGCTCGTGCGACCGATCCGGCGAGAGATGGGTGCGCGAGTCGCGTCGGCCGCCGCGCGAGGCGCTGTCCGGCGAGAGCGAGTCGCGCCGTGAAGTGCGGCGCTCGCAGTCCTCCGGCGGATCCGGACTGAGCGCTGGCTGCGAGCCGCGTCGGCTGCCGCCGGGCAAGCAGCTCTCGTCAAAGGCCGTCGCCTGTCGCTGCAAGCGCTGCAGTCGCGGCGCTCGCTCCGGACTGATGCCTGCCTTGGAGTCGCGACGGTTGACGCGACCGCATTGGGTGGTAGAGTCGCGCCGTCCCTTGGGTGCCGTCGGACTGGTGGCCGGCGGCGTCACCGAGCTGGTTATGATTGTGGGCGGCGGCAGCGCCTGACAGGAGGTGTCCACCTGGTGATAAGTGCTGGTTGAGATTAATGGCACAGAGTCTGAGCCGGCGGAGCTGGTCGACGGACGCTGCTCCTGCCGAAAATTGGGAAATTCCGGTGCGGCCAACGAGTCGCGTTTCTTAGTCACTTGGTATTTGGGTGGTGGAGGCGGTGTTGTCACGCGTCCGGCAACATTGCTGTCACGCCGGCTGCTCGACAGATAGCTCTCGCCCGAGCCGCGCCGCGAGGCCTGCCATGCATATGGGATGAGACACGGAGAGAGATAGAGAGAGAGAGAGAGAGAGAGGCAGGCATAGGTTAGGTGAATTGGTTGTGGACTATGGATTGGCTTAAAGGATGAGTCAAATATTTTGTCAGGCGGGTGGGTCACATGCCTAGCCTAGGATTTACAGCCGGAGCTGACTTTAGTAGATGGGCTATACTTGTATACCTAGGCTACATGGTACGAGCTGGATTAAATTGGTTAATCGGAGGAAGCAATGAACAAGCAAGGCATGCTGGTATACATATAGAAGGAGCTTCAGTAAAGGATTCGGGTCCTATAAGCAGCAGACCTAGAGTATTGAACTTGCCCGAAATCTTGTGTAGAGAAACCGTCCTTTATGTATGTCTCGTCAAAAATGGTCGTTCACCAATATAAAACTAAGATTTTGTGTAGGATGGATACCCTAGGATCCTCATGTTCTATTTAATGAGTTGAAGAACCAACTTCTTTCGGAGAGACAAATCTTTTCTCTTAAAGCCTAGGACACTACTCTACTGCATAATATTGCATGCTTTTGATCAATATCTTATTAAAATCGTATGAAGCATTTAATGTAATTGTAATAATGGTAATTGCCTAGAATCAAACGTCTTTCCATAGCATGTTTCAAAGGGAGAATGATCTTCTTTCGGAAAACCCAGATCTTTCCTTTTGTAATCTAGAGCATTATCTATCTAAATTGATTTATATTTTGCCCCTCTTGATGGGCTCTCAACATTTTTTACCGCATTTCTAGCTATATAACTTTAGAGCTTTACTAATTCTCAAGTGCCTCCCATGAGAGTCCCGCACAGTGGTAGGACTTACGCTCTTAGTGCTCTCCACAACAACGGGCACAACCACATTGGTGGAGTGCTCCTCAACTGTGGTGCTTTCGCGCCGGTTCCAGTGCCGGACGAATTCGGCGGTGTTGGAGTCGCGGCGGGAGCGCATGCTCCGTATGCCCGAATCGGCGCTCGACTCGCGTCGCTTGCGTGGCGTCACATAGCTGGTGGTGGTATGTCCGATATTGGAGCCGGAGCTGGCGCCGCCGGTGCCCGCATCCGTGGTCGAGGTGCGCCAGGGCAGGCTGCGTGCGAGGTCGGCGAGGGTCTCGCGACGATTCAATTGGCCCTTGCTGCGGGACGACTGCTGCTGCTGCTGCTGATGCTGCTGCTGCTGGTGCTGCTTGCCGCCGCCGCTCCACTCGCGCAAGATGTCAGTGAGCTGCGCCAGCGAGCTGCGTCGCCGTCGCTGCATACCTGGCGGCGGCGAAGTGCTTGGCGGTGTTGTGATCTGTGCGGCCGAGTCGCGACGGCCGCCAAGGCGCTGACGTATCGTCGACTCCTCCAGCTGAGAGAGAGAGGGAGAGTGAGCTGTGAGTAGGGCTAGCAAAGACGGTGCTTGCCTGAGACTTACCTGTTCGCGCACCAAGTCGTCCCAGCCATTGCCGCCCTGCCACACCAGGCCAACCTGATGCGACATTATGGGCAGGTTGCATACAAAGCATACGGCTGTCATAGTCCTGCAATGATATAAATACATCATATAGCTTATGCATAAATAGAGCGAGAGAGAGCGAGAGAGAGTGAATGAGAGAGATAGCTACATGCAAAGTGTTCAAATGTCGCAAAATATTTTCCGTTGGTCAAAGCTACGATTGGAGCTAGGAAGTTGAAAGCTAAGAAACAAACGTTTGATGGCTTTGACTGCAGGCAGTAAAAGCTTGCTTAGCAAACTGAGTTGAGCTTTAATAGCCGTTAAATTTATTAGTACTGTGCGCCAAAAGCTCCGAAGCGCTTAGGCAGCTTTCGCTCTAATGTTTACTAAGCTCTTAGTTTAGTTTTGTGTTTGGCTCTGAGTGCTTGACATTGCCTAGGTAAAAGCTTTGTCGAAAGCTTTACTTTTTCTAAACTCAGAAAGATTAAAATTTCCATACACAAATATAGAAAATTACCGCTGAGCTGTGTGCATTATCTTTGATGCTTACGCTTAGTCAAATTAGAAAAAAAGCTTTATATAAAGCTTCAAGCATATGCTTGCAAAAATGTGTGTACAAGCTTTTCACTGCGTCAAATATCCTAAGCTATGTATGCTTCAGGCAATTTAAGCTTTCAGTGAAATGCGTAAAAGCTTCGCTTGACTTTTTCTAACCTTGTAGCTTTCAGTTTCGTGTGTTTAGTGCATTTGGAGTGGAGGCATGCTGTTGTGGCTCAAGTGCGATAAAAGCTCATGCAATGTGTTGTTCAAATGAAAGGGGTAAACTTCAAAGCTCTGTGACATGCGCTAAGCTTGAAAGTGCATTAGGTGGCTGTGGTGAGTTCTGTGGCGGTGTGGTGCGGTGGTGAAGTTGAAGTTTTTATATTTATAGCAAGTCAAATTTGAATTTGAAAGTAGAAGCAGTTGCTGTGGCTGTTGCGAGCTGTTCGCAGCTGTTGCTTGCTTAGCTGTGATAGATTGACTAGAGAGTTGCTTGAATGAGACTGTATATGAATTGGCTAACTTTTTGCGTATGACGACGCCGCTGCTGGTCTGATCCATGGACCTGTAATTCCGATGTTTTGACATGTCGCATGGCGTTCTGCGTCTGCAGCACTGCAGATCCCTTGGTTATCCAATCGAACAAGAAAACCGAGCCAATTGCCACAGTTTTTGCTTCTCTATTGATTCTGCTGCTGCTGCTGCTGTTGCTGCTGCTGCTGCGGTTGCTGTTGTTGTTGTTGCTGTTGCTGTTGCTGCTGCTGCTGCTGTTGTTATCCAGTTTTTGCTGCTTCGCTGGCTGCTTCCACTCAATCAGTTTCTTATCGCATTAACAATGCAAAAACGAATTCAGTTCCAATGTAGCCAACAAATAAATGTTGGCTATAGTTTGTATTGGTTTTTGATTTTTGGCTATTTTTGTTGATGCTTGTCTCGCACTTTAATTAAAAACGAAATCAATCCCAGCTTATAGATACTCTTTCCACTGTTCATTTAAGAACTAATTGCATCTGAGTGTTTTATGTTATTCAAATGAAATTTGAGATTAGGCAAGTTACAAAAAATCATTGATGGATTATGAAAAGTATTTTATAATTTTCTGAATTTATATCGAATTTAAGATTTTGCATCTTTAATTTTTTTTGGGTTTTTCTCGGACAAACTTGTAAAATTTTAAAAATATATTTTTTTTTTTTCAGTTGCAATTTTCGAAAAGAATATTCGTGCTTCGGCCTGCCGAAGACTTTGTTAAGTTATATCGAATATTTACTGTATTTGTTGAGGCTTGTAAATCTTGTTATCGTTTTCAGTTTTGATTATATTTTGTAGCTTTGATTTTGATTTTTGATTTAAAGTGGGGCGGGGATTGGGAACTTTTGCTACACACACAGAGAGACACAGAGATACACTGAAAAAAATTGAAGAAAAAGAAAATATTTGTTTGGTTTTAAAACACATTGAGGGGATGTTTGTAAATACAAAAAAATTTGCTCAATATATACATACACATGTATATATATATATGTTTATCAAAATTTAAGTTGCTAGGGAATTAAATGGACTCTACTTTTCAAAACATCATGGACACAATCTATTTTGGATGGTATACAACTAGGGTCTACTTGAATTATACGAATTGGCTACGTATTCGGCATGCAAAATTTGCTACGTTATTGATTAAATTAAATAGTATAAAGACTATAATTATATATCTTAAATATAATATATACACTCTTAATAAATATGTAAAAATAAAAGTAAAACTACTTTAACTACAATAAAACTTAAATCTAATCTTAAGCGAAATACTTTATAGAATTCTGAAGTCATTTTCGTTTGTATCGATATTTATCGATATACCAAGCCCAATAAGTACATCATACCCCTCTGCTTGCAGCTCGTCCAGGGCAGAAGCACTGAGCGTCTCAACAATACTCAATAGATTTGATTCATTAAAAGTTTCATTTTAGTAAATTTGGTTTTCTTCAATGGAATTTAAAAAACGTCAAGCGTTTGCATGAATAATATTTGTGCGCTTTTCATGGAGTTTGCATTTAGTTGAGAGCTTACATAAACTATATAAAGTTTTCAACTAAATGCAAATCGCACTACGAAATATTTGTTTCTGCTTGTAGCAAAAAATGAAGGTGACTCGCACTAGCATACAATAATATTTGGAAAATAAAAGGATGTGCTCCACAGGAAATGGAAAATACTAAGGAATAACAAAACCGACTGCTGGGTGAGTGGCAGGAGCCAGAGCAAGCAAATGGAGCTAAAATAATAAGCGCCCCAGGCGCACTTCAAAAGTGGCGAAGGGAAAGCACACACAACTTTCTGATAATACCACCCAAAGTCCGAAAAGTAAACTATGCTTAAAAACTGTAGTCTATGGAGTGAGTATATAGAATGTATGGTGTTTATAGAGGATTTGGATAGTATATTGCACTCTCTAGAGCATACAGATGGTATGCAAAAGACATACAGGGATACTCTCTATATACATGAATAGTACGCAGAGGATATACAGTGAGTATGTACATAGGATATACAGATATACTCTCTATATGCATGAAAAGTATGCAGGGGATATACAGAATGTTTACAGAGGGTTTACAGAGAGTTTACAGATTGAATTTGAAGAATTTACAGTAACTAAGGTCTAGAGCTTAGTAATATATAGAGTCTATACATTATATAGAGCTTACCTGTAGCCAACTAGCAAAAGGTCTGAATTATTTCCCCTTTATAAGCCATCAAATTTGAAGCACCCAAATAAAGCTCGGCCAAAAAACTGAAAGTTGTGCACTTAAAAGAAAGTACTACTTAGCCTCGCTGGTGGTGGTGCAGCGGGTGGCCTGGGTCGGGTGCTTGGCTGCCTGATGCTTACAAAGCCAATCAAAATGAAGCATAAACTTTGCCGAAGCGCAAGTTTGTGGCCGCAAACTTAATAATGGGCAGACAGTGATGCTCAAATCTACTCAGACTGAACTGAATTGCTCTGGGTGTGCTAGTGGGTGGGTGTGTACGAGTGTGTGGGTGTGCACGAGTGTGTGGTTGGGTGGTTTGTCTGCTGTTGCTGCCGAGCCATGAACACAACCGGAAGTTGTCAAATGCGTGCGAAATGCTATAGAAGTTGGCAGCTGCTCAGAGTCATTTTGTGGCAAGTGTGCTCAAGTTGTTTGTCAAACACACACACACACTCGCACACACACAAACAGGGGCAGTCTCGTTTCATAGTCACATTTATGATATGCCAGACTGGTCTTTATTCACTCAATAAAATAGTTTTCAAGCAAGTTCAAGTGTGCTTCACTCGCTTATACCCTGTAACTCCCGACTCGCAGAGAGTTAATCTAGCCAGCATAGACAAGCTCAAACCCAGAGCCGGAGTTACTTAAGCTGCTTCGCATATAGCTTGTAGTTCATGCTACCCGCTTTTACTTGCACTGCGCACTACAGGGTATCGAAAGCAGCTGCCGTTGCAAACTTTCAGCCTGCGACAGGTGCTGGCCAGAAACTTGGCACCTCAACTTGGCCAATCGAATTGCCACCTTCACCCGGTAGAGCCGCTGTGGAGTGCTTAATCAATTTGAAGTGCAATACTTCCAGCTGCAGTCGCCAGCCTCCACTCTGACACACCCACACACACACACACGCATACAGAGCACTGCAGCCGCGGGCTATCTCGTTTGCTGCATATTTCATGGCCTTTGGGCCCAAGCGATTGCAGACACGAAACACCGCCTTCCACTCCATTTGATTGACAGCTGTGAATTTGCATCGGCAGCGTGCGGCGCCGCCAGTTGTCGTCCTTCGACTCATCTAGCCGCTGCCACGCCTCGTCCAGCCCCGAGCGCCTTCTGGCCTTCTGATGGGCTATTGCAAATATGTGCAGAGGGCGAAAGTAGTTAAGCGCATATTATGATGCATACAAGGCCTTAACTTGCTCATCAAATACCCTGTAAATATGGTATGTAGAACGGACTGACGGAATGAGGGCATATTAGTTTTGTTCTCATTAATATAAGAAGCAGTTTGAGGGAGTTACATACTCAATGTAATCTGCCTTCTTACTCTGTTCTCCTCTCTTTATCTCACTTTATGAGAGCTTACTGAGTCTATAGATAATGCTAATTGATCTTTCTATTCATAGTATATATGAGAGGCAAAGGTCTTCAAGAAGAAGAAGAAGAAGAAGCAGTCTAAGTAAAAATGTTCGCCTACAGCAATATTTCCTATTCCATTTACAATTTAAGTTTATGTTGATAAACATATTTGCATTTACTATCGATAGGCATTGTTATTTCAAGGCACATACGCTTTCGATTATTTTGAGACTTGGACTCTTAATTTCCCATGCAGCACATTTGTGGGCCAGTGTGAAGTACTTAATTGTATGCACACAGCGTCCAGTGGGCAAGTGTGAGTGAGTGTCGCATTTGCTCGACTGGCTCGTTAAAGACGGCGCTATAAATAATAATAAGCTCTCAACTTGATTGCGCAGCTGCTTCTATGTGCCTGGCTTAGCCGGGCTTAGGTGCGGGATTTGTGCTGATGCGCCCTAAGTGCAAACGAGAATCAATTTGCTAATAATCCCGGGCAAGAATTGCAACTGCTATTTAGCAGAGTTCAACAATCGGTAGCAAAATTATCGATGTGGCAAAGCTTACAGCCGAAAATAAATGTTATTCCAATTGGCCAATGGATTCTTTCACGACACATCGATATATGATATCGTGCATGAATTCGTGTTGGCAATGATCGATAGTTCCTCTTTTCGATAGCAGCAAGCAAAAACTAACATTGCCTTTTCAATTTCAGTTCGTGACAATGGGAGATTGGCGCTGCCTTGTTATCGATAGTATCCCCTTTTTGAAAGCAGCAATCTGCGTTGTCAGTTACTTTCCTTTACGATTTCTACTTGACCCTGTGACAATATCTCGACAATCAGGAAAAGCCTTGCATTGTTATCGATAGTCATCCCCATTCGATATTATCCCCTTTTCATTAGCATTAGACGACTTTTGGCAGTTGGCAGCTCCATTCCTTGTCGCTTTCAAGTTCAGTTCGTGACAATATATCGGTGCCCTGTTATCGATAGTATCCCCTTTAGCAATCGGCGTTGGCAGCTCATTTCCTGTTCAATTTCCACTTGAGCTAGAAGCAAGCCATAAGCAACTTTTCGACCATGTCTTCATCCGAAACATCCGAGTTGACGGAGCGCATTTTGAAGTATTTGGAGGGCGTGGAGCAGGTGGACAGCCTGCGGCTGGCCGAAGAGCTCGGTATCGAGCATCAGCTGATTGTGGGCGCCGTGAAGAGCATTCAGGCGCATGGCGAGCGGCTGCTGCACGTGGAGCCCGTCACGCGCAAGTCGCTCGAGCTGACCGAGGAGGGGCAGGAGGTGGCGCAGAACGGCAGCCACGAGGCGAATGTCTTTGCCTCGGTGCCGGAGGAGGGCATCAAGCGGACGGACCTGTTGGCATCTGGCGGTGCCAGCGTATGCCTGGACAGGAGCGTGGAGCCGCCGCTCGTGCGCCGCAAGGTGAGTGCGATTAGGGATCCGGTGCTTGATCACCTGCTGCAGCTGTCCGAGCTGTCGGCCAGCGATGTGGTCGAGTTCAAGAGGCTGGTGCAGGAGCCGACCATCGAGAGCCTGCTGCTCAGCAAGGGCCCCGAGTTCGGCACGGCGCTGGCCAAGCTGGCGACGGACCTGACCATGGACATGCTGACCAGCGGGGAGTGGGAGGAGCTGCCATTTAAGCCCTACAACTTCGATGCGCTGGGCGCGGTGCCGGCGCGCGGACATCTGCATCCGCTGCTGAAGATGCGCAGCGAGTTCCGGCAGATCTTTCTCGAGATGGGCTTCGCGGAGATGGCCACCAACAACTATGTGGAGCCATCGTTCTGGAACTTCGACTCGCTCTTCCAGCCCCAGCAGCATCCGGCCCGCGATGCCCACGACACGTTCTACGTCAAGCAGTCGACCGGGTCTCGGGGCTACGGCTACAACTGGCAGCTGATCGAGGCCGAGAAGAATCTGCTGCGCACGCACACAACGGCCGTGAGCGCGCGCACCCTGTACCAGCTGGCCACGCGGCCGAACGGCTTCAAGCCGGCCAAGTTCTTCACCATCGACAAGGTGTTCCGCAACGAGGCCCTCGATGCCACACACCTGGCCGAGTTCCACCAGGTGGAGGGCGTCATCGCGAATGTCGACTTCACCCTGGGCGATCTAATCGGCACGCTGCAGGAGCTCTTCCGCAAGCTGGGCATCGAGGAGCTGCAGTTCAAGCCCACCTACAGCCCGTACACGGAGCCCAGCATGGAGATCTACTGCTACCATTCCGGCCTGGCCGAATGGCTCGAGGTGGGCAATTCGGGCATCTTTCGGCCCGAGCTGGTGCTGCCCATGGGCCTGCCCCCCGGCGTGAATGTGCTCGCCTGGGGCCTCTCGCTCGAGCGGCCCACGATGATCAAGTATGGCATCAACAACATAAGCGACTTGGTCGGACCCAGGGTGGACCTCAAGATGGTCGAGGACGGGCCAATTTGTCGCCTCGACCACAATTAGCTTGCATGCCCTTTGCAGCACTGTCGTTGGCCTATCGATAGTGATGAAATATAATAAATAATAAAAGCTACTTAGCTGGATTGAATGAGATTTAGCAGCTGTTGCAACTTGAGTTTCTATTACGCATAGTGAGCGGAGCAGTGGCCCAAGTTATGGATGGTATTGCCTTGTAGTATTGTATTAATATATGATTCGATTTCGCATTCAATTGGTCTCAGTCTCAGCCTTTGTCTCAGTCTCACTCAGTCCCATTCTTAATCTCAGTCTCAGAGTTTCAGTCTCAGTTTTAGGGTCTTTCTCAGTCTCAGTCTCAATCTCAGTCTTAGTCTCAGTGTCAGTCTCAGTCTCAGTCAGTCTCTCTCAGTCTCAGTCTCAGTCTCAATCTCAGTCTCTTTCTTAGTTTTAGTCTCAGTCTCAGTCTCTTTCTCCTCAGAGTCAGTCTTAGTCTCAGTATCATTCTTAAGCCCAGTGTCTATATGTCTCTGCCTCAGCTCTCAGTGTCAGTCTCAGTCTCAGTCTCAGTCTCAGACTCAGTCTCAATCTCAGTCTCAGTCTCAGCCTCAGTCTCAGTCTCAGTCTCAGTCTCAGTCTCAGTCTCAGTCTCAGTC